GTTATTTAACTTTATACACTTTTAAATTTATGCATTTTATTTCTTTTATTTATTTATTTTAATTTTAATTTCATTCTTTGCATTTTACTTGCTTTAATGTTCTAATCGTTTATTTATGTCTCTTTATTTTTCAGTAATTTAATTTATTCGTTTAATTATTATTTTTTATTGTCGGTTTATTTTACTTCTATAATTTAATTTTTGCATATTTAAATTTTGTTTCCTTACATTTAACCATGTATGGATATTATATATTTATTTGTATTATTTATGTATGTGTATATTCTTTGTTCTTGGGAATTGGTTTTGAATGATTGTATAAAATGTTTGTTTCATTATTTTTTAACGCTTTTTTTACTCTAATATTTTCAAGAACACTTATTTGTAGAATGGGCGTAGAAAGCATTGTTTGGTCGAAGTAGTGATATCCGATACGACATTCGAACGAAATGTGAACTCGAAATAAATCAAATTTATTTTTTAAAAGTGATAATTACTTTGTTTTTATTCTAATTCAAATTACACAATATGTTTTTTATATAGTAATTTATTTTATGTAAAATGCGGATATTCAATTTATATTTGATTTACGTTTTTTTATAAATCGAGGAGGGAATATTTGTTTTTAGGCAAGAAATAGAAGAGATAGTCTTCTCATCAGAGGATGAGCAAATCTCGATATTTCTTTTCAAATTAAAGTATTTTCCCTAATAAATAATTCAAAGCAAATTAATTAAACTTTAATAAATGAATCATTTTCTAGCTTTATATTTGATTTATAATTTCCACTACCGCGACAATATATAAGCGATTAAGTACTAATTTTGGGCATTGTGGGGGTGTTTATCCTTCCCCACGCGTAACTGACTCCCGGACCCGTTACGTCGAGTTTTTTGGTAAACGCAAACCAACTTTTGTCTAAAAAACGATTTTTTCCTAAAATTATTTTAAATGAAATTTTTAGGTATTCGACCTACCTAACCCAAAAGTCGATGACGAATCTTATTGAATTTAATTCTAATTAATTCATAAAACCCCAAAATTTTCAAATAAAATCATAATTGTTTTTAAAATGATATTTAATTATTTTTCTAAAAAATGATCATGACAACTACCTCAACATCTAGGAAAACAGTAACCCTCACTTCAAATATAGAGTGGTCGGTTTAGGATTTAGGCTTAATGTGCAATATTAATGAGAACATGCTTTAAATGCTAAGAATATACTTCTAATATGTAATCCAACTTAATACTATAGTTTGATCAAGTCAACATTTTCTTTTTTATTTATCTTATATTACTCAGATTTCAATGAAAATGCCATACAAATACATGCATTTATGCTCTTTTTAAGCCTGGGCACAGACAAAAGATCTATAAATTAAAAAATACGGGTTTAAAATTTAATACTCTTTTTTAAAATAATTAAATACGCAAATTTTCTTCTTCTTCTTTTTTCTCTTCTCCCCTTTACATACTAAATCAAAATTTAGCAGATTTTCTAAAATAATAGATACGGAGTTGCTCTCCTCTGGAACTTAGTACATAAGCTCCTGAGCCTGAGGGTCTTGGGATTCCAGATGTACTACATAAACAAGTGTAAGACCGAAAAACCTCAGGGAATAAAAAGAGAGAGATGAAACAAGATAATTGGTAACTAGTGGATATGTAAAGAGATAAAACAATTTCTAGATACGCTAGGGATGGGTGAAGTGATCATTCTTGTAGAATAAAAATGGAAAATTTATTGAAGACACGCCACCCCTTGATGAGGATGCACATCAAACGGCAACCAAACTAATGAAACTATTTCAAAAAATGTACTCAACACTTTAACTAATTCTATTGTCACCCGATGAAAAAAGTTTAGAACATGGACAAAATTATTGCACTTTGTTCAGTAAAGCTAATGGAAAAACATGCCACTTCTAGAAATAAGCACCTTTATGGAACCATTCTCTTAAAAACATTATTAACAATATGACCATAACTCTCATCCATGGCTCTTTATCCTTAAATTCTCCGTCACCTGCTCCCTCTTTCACCCCCATTCAGTCCAGAAAGAAAAAATGAGAATTTCAAGAGAGTTTTTGGGTACCTTGGTTCTTCTTCTGGTTTCATCAATGGCTAACGGAGACCCTCTTGTTCCTGCATTAATCATCTTTGGAGACTCGGTTGTTGATGTTGGGAACAACAACAATCTCTATACACTTATCAAGGCCAACTTTCCACCGTATGGAAGAGATTTTGTTACTCACAGGCCAACCGGAAGATTCTGCAATGGAAAACTAGCCACAGATTTCACTGGTAATTTTTTTTAGAGAACCCATACTTGTTTTTCCCCATTCATTTAGGCTCTTTCACTCCCTTATGTGATGGACCTTATCCATTCCTGCATGCACAGCGGAATACCTTGGGTTCAATTCATACCCGCCGACTTACCTTAGTCAAGATGCCAGAGGAAATGCTCTCTTGACTGGAGCCAACTTTGCTTCGGCTGCTTCTGGTTTATATGACAGAACTGCAAACCTATATGTAAAATATTAAGATCCCAATCCTCAACCCCTTTCTTTTTCTCTATGGTCCTGACTATGAAGCCTGATCATCGAACAAGATGAACTGTTTTGTTGACTTTTGTAGCGTGCCATAACATTGACCCAGCAGTTAAACTACTACAAGGAGTACCAAACGAAAGTGGTGAACATGGTAGGGAAAGCTAAAGCGAATGACATATTCTCTGGTGCCATATAACTTTTGAGTGCAGGAAGCAGTGATTATATTCAGAACTACTACATCAATCCTCTACTCAATAGAATCTGTACACCGGATCAATTCTCTGACATTCTCATTAGATCATACTCTACTTTCATTCAGGTATCATTTGGCTTTCACTTACGGGGGCTATTGTGATATCTTTAGCAATATTTGGACCATTTACTTGAGAAATTAGTACCTGTTTTATGTTTGAAATAGAATCTGTATACACTGGGAGCAAGGAGGATTGGAGTCACAACCTTACCGCCAACAGGTTGTTTACCTGCGGCGATCACCCTATTTGGTGGAGGAAGTAACCAGTGTGTTGCAAGGTTAAACCAAGATGCCATAGCCTTCAACAATAAACTAAACAGAACATCTGTAAGCCTACTGGACAAGTTGGCAGGTCTCAAACTTGTTGTCTTCGATATATACCAGCCTCTCTTGGACATGGTTACAAAGCCTAGTGATAATGGTAAATCACCTGTTGTGCAAAAGAGTAGTTAATCAACAGAATGAATCAACATTCTGTATTAGATAACAAATTTCATTGTTTTATTCAAGGCTCTACCATGCATGATTCATTAATATACTTTTCCCCTGTGAATTTGGTTGTTGCAGGTTTCTTTGAGTCAAGAAGAGCTTGCTGTGGAACGGGTACACTAGAGACCTCCTTGCTTTGCAATTCGAGGGCCCTGGGGACCTCCTCCAATGCTACATCGTATGTATTTTGGGATGGATTCCATCCCTCTGAAGCAGCCAACGAGGTCTTAGAAGGCAATTTGCTAGCACAGGGAGTGGGACTCGTCTCTTGAAGCTATTTCCTTCATGTTCGTAGAAAGGGAATAAAGAAAAAGAAGAAAATACTGTCACCCATTCACGTAATCTTCTCATATGTAGGATATTATATATTACTTGAGTCTTCGTTGGTATATTGTTTTAGCAGGAGACAGTCTTCAATGTTAAGTTGTTAACCATCAATAAAGTAGATGACAATTGAAACTTGAAAGAGACTTGATCTTCAGTAAGGATATTTCTATAATTTTTTTATATATATTAAAATCCTTATAGCCGATAGAAATGAGTTTAGACAATGAGGAAGTCAAACTCAAATGGCACTAGAAATTCACCTGCGCCAATGAAATATCTCAGGCCAGGAAGAAAGTTCTAATCCACCATTACAATTGTTCTCAAAACGAAGCTTTGCTTTCAGAGTACTTGACTGCTTATATGTTGGAAGCTGTAATCATCCATTAGAGCAAGAAAAGACAGACAGGATTAGTTCAGATTTCAGATCCTCAATTCATCCGTCCCTTCAGCAGATATGAGATGTTTAGAAACTGTAAAACATACATCAATGCTCCTTATTTATTATTCATAAACATTACATGTATATATACAAATATAAAGATCTACAATATGTAAAGTAATATCCTATGTTAATTATATAATATTCTACGTTAAATACAATATATATCAATCTATAAGATTCAAGCTGTAAATCCCTAAAACTCTCCTCAAGTTAGAGCATATATATTAATCATGTTCAACTTGTTATATAGATAATTAATCCAAACTCTGTTAAGAGCATTTATGAAAATGTCTCATAACTTGTTATATATTATGTATAATATATGTTTTTTATATTTTTTATAATAATTTATTATTTATCATTTTATAGCTTACATCATATTTGAATTTTTTAAATAGTGTTTTTAGTATTTTATTTTTAATATATTTATTTATATTTTGAATATTTGAATTATATTTTAAATAACTTTAATTTTCTAAAATTAAATTAAATAAGCATGTGAACTTAAAAAATCAATTTGATCCTCGAATTTTGATTAAAAAAAATCAATTTAGTACATTTGGTACATCATCAATCACCGTGAACCTTTACGTCAGTATCGTGGACTACCATGTTAACTTAGCGAAGTATCATGTCAGTATCATAACTATAGACATTTGACTCTGTTGGTCAAATTGGTTTTTTCTCGATTTAAGTTCCACAAATAAGTGGGGGGAAATTAAGGGTCAGATTTGATTTTCTGGAAAAAAAATAGGGTTTTAGATACTATCATGCCTAATTGCATTCAAATCTAATTATAAAATGAGTTTTACTAGTCTAACAATTAACATATTCCTTTGCTTTTAGATATTGGGTTTGGTCCATATCCAATTTATCATTCTATTCGCAGCCCGTTCAGGGTAATTCGTAATTCTAAAACAATATAAGGGCCGTTTCTTCAAAACCTTGAATATACCTAGCAAAGTCCGCTAGGGTTTCAAAACCAAAGGAACAGAGAAACAGCGGCAGCAACAGCGCCAGCCATGGTTCTCAAGTATGCTTCTTCTCTACATTTCCATTACTTTTTACCTTTGAAGTTGTTCCTTTTGGTTTTATTTTATTGTATTTCAGCCTGCTTGAAATTTGACTGTTGAATTCATGTTCATCTGTTTTAATTTAAGTACAATGCGAGGAATTAATGTTCGTCAATTTTAGTTAGAACATTAAAGCTGGAATTAACATTTCATCTCTCTCTTAAAATTTCTATTTTACGTGTCCATTTTCTCGGCAGCCTGATTGTTGTTAAATTTTCGTTTTTGAATTTATTGCATTAATATGAGATTTTATCAATTTATCGAAGCTGAATGTCTTGCATTAATGAAAGAAAATAAAAAATAAAATACTGGCTGCTAAATCTTGATGGTAAGAAATAAAATTAGTTCTTAGCTATGTGCGTTGAAATGGAATTATATTTTAGTTCTGCTATTGAGATGCTAGTGTTCATTTCAATTGCAAACGAATTCATCTTTAATGGCTATAATTGTTTAATTTAGTTAATCATGTGATAGTCAAGTGAATGATTAGGCTGGTGAATATTGATTTTATGTTTTCAATATTCCAAATTTCATACTAAACTGTGTGATGTGGAATGCTAGGACGGAGCTTTGCCGATTTAGTGGTGCCAAGATTTACCCTGGGAAAGGCATCAGATTCGTTCGTTCTGATTCTCAGGTAAATTTTTCTGAGTTATGATTTGAAGCAGTTAATATCATATAGTTGCATTTGTAATAATTGCCTTCATTGATTCTTTTAGGTCTTTCTCTTTTCCAATTCAAAATGCAAGAGGTACTTCCACAACCGTCTGAAACCATCGAAACTTACATGGACAGCCATGTATAGGAAACAACATAAGAAGGTGAGTATCGACATTACTAATGCACATATATACAGAAAATTGCTACATTTTGGAGTAATTATATCCAGGTTGTGACACAAGAGAAATGATTGTGAGTAATAAAATTTTATGACAAACATATTAATGTTCAGTATAAAATGAATAATTATCGAACAGTTTTAGGCATTTCTTTTTGTTCTTTTAGCAATCTGATAAAAGTTGAGTGATTTTTTTTTCTATTTTGTTACAACTTACATGCATTAGGACATTGCCCAAGAGGCTATTAAGAAGAGGAGACGGACCACCAAGAAGCCTTACTCCCGATCCATTGTTGGTGCCACTTTAGAGGTTATCCAGAAGAAGAGGAGTGAGAAACCCGAAGTTCGTGATGCTGCTAGGGAAGCTGCTCTCCGGTGTGTTTTTTGTTTTGTTTGGCATATAAGTTTCATCCCATAATTGTCATTGCTGATTTTCATGTATCAAGCATTTTGTGGGGAATACTTTGTGATTATTTTAATTCTGCAGAGAAATCAAGGAAAGAATCAAGAAATCTAAGGATGAGAAGAAGGCGAAGAAAGCTGAAGTATCTGCAAAGCAACAGAAGACACAGGGCAAGGGTAGCATTCCGAAGGGTGGGGCACCAAAAGGTCCCAAGCTCGGTGGTGGTGGTGGAAAGCGTTGAGTTTGCTAATTCATTATCTGCCTTTCTCTGGCCAGAGAATTAGGGTTAGTATAATGTTAATTTTGAAGTCATTTTATAGACTTAATGGCACTGATCGCCATGGTTTTGGTATACTATGAACTCTGTTGAATTTGAGTGAATTAGTAATTTTCAGGATTTTAATTTTGTTTTTCAACCTACATATTTGGAATTTGACTAGGGGGTGTAAACGAGCCGAGTCAAGCTCGAGTATTGCTGAGCTCGACTCGAAAACTCTAAAATAGAGCTCGACTCGAAAACTCTGAAATAGAGCTCGACTCGAAAACTCGCGAGCTTAAAATTTTCAAGTTCGACTCGAACTCGAAATCCTGAACTGAAGCTCGTGAGCAGCTCGAAATGAAAAAGAAAATTCTTAAACTTAACTCGATTTAAGCCTCAAACTCGAACATGAACCTTAATTAAATGCATTAAATCTTACTATATTTTTAAAAAAATTCAATACATAAATATTAATATTATTAATAATTTATTTAAAAAAAATAAAATCTTAATATATTATATTTTCAAGTTGCTCACGAGTTTTTCGAGCCGAATATCGAGTAGCTCGTTTTGGCTCGTTAAGAACTCGAGTCAAGCTCGGGCTCGAGTTGAGTCTATTCGATCCGAGTATTTATCGAGTCGATCTCGAGTAACTCGCGATCTGTCTTATCTCATTTTCAGCCCTAAATTTGACCAAGTTGAGAATGCAATTTTCTATCATTGATTTGGATTTTCAACTCAGAGCTTAGTCATGTTTCTTCTCTCAATCATTTGATAAGTTGTATCGATTTCATTTCTTTTAGACTATAAATTACATATTTAGTCATCCAACTATAACATTGGTTCTGTTTTAGTTACCTAATCAGACCCATATATAAAATCATACCCATATATAAAATCATACCTGAATCTTATTTAAAAAAAAATTGACCCTGTCAGACTTGAATGTCTTGAAATCTGTTAATATCGATTTAAATTACCGTCCCTATATATATCATGTTTGGGCAGTCAAAGGATTTGAAGAAAAACCCTAAACGCTCTTGAATTCCTAGCTAACTTATGAAATTTGACTGCCAATCCATGGTCGAACGGGCCCCAGATTTGAACTATTCTCGTCGAGACGAGTCTGTCGGTGTAATTTGGTGGCCAACAACAACCAACGATGACGTCGGACGGGTCGACGGCCGACAGGTGGTAAGCTACTGGCGATGATTGGTTTTCTAGAGAGAACGAAGACCCTCTCTCTAGAAATATTTTAAAAGAAAAAATGAGAAAAAAAGAACAAAGGAAAAAAATATGATATTTATAGAAAATTTTTTGGGAAATTACACTTAGGTCCCCTTAAATTAGGCGTGTTTTTGCAAAATGGTCACTTGAAGGGACCATTTTTTAATTTACCCATTTCTTATTCATGTTATATATTTTTTGTTTAATTATTGTTTGGTCCCTATACTTTTAGGCGTGTTTTGCATTTTGGTCATGTGTAGTGACTGTTTAATTTTTTAAATACTTAGGGACTGATTTAGTGATTTTACCTTTTTATTTCGCAGCACTAACTTTTTGGTTTATTTTCTTCTAGGTCCTCTACTTTATGCGTGTTTTTCCATTTTGGTCATTAGTCCTCTATTTATTTTATTTCTTAAATTTTGTGCTATAATTTGTGTTGGTTTCAATTTAGTTATTTTTATTATTCTGGTTTATTTGAATTTATTCACTAGTTTTTATTTTTATTCATTTTAGCCACTGTTTGGGTTCTATTTATTATTTTATTATAATTTAGATATGATATCTTCAATTTATACATTTTAGTCACCTGTTGATTATGATATGGCTATTGTTTTTATTTTTTATTTCATTTTAGTCCTTTTCTGCTTAGTATTTTATATTTATGATTATTTTAATTTGAGTGCCTTATTTTAATGATTTCTTTAGTCCTGAATGATTAAAGTTAGTTTATTTACGATTGTAGTGCTCATATTGTAAAATATTCGCAATATTTACTTTATTTATTGTTGATTGTGTAGTTTAATCCCTAAAATTACTATTCTTTATTATCTTGATCCATTATTTACATATATTTTAATTTCTTGCTATTTGTAATATTTTCAAATAGTATTTTACTCGAGGAATTTATAGAAGCGCGCATTAACTGACAAGGAGTGTGTTTCCAAGAATTGTTCGAATAAAATAATACTTTTTATATTTAAATGAATTTATTTTTAATATAATTAATATATATATTTTGGGCAATATTCTTTTGTATGGGGGAATCCAAGGAAATGCCCCCTTAACTGACAAGAAAGGTATCTTCAAGAATTGTTTGTACAAAATAATACCCCTTATATTTTTCTAAAAAAGATCATAATTTAAAAGTATATTCGAATTTGCCAATTTCAATATTTAAATGACGTATAATCGCTTATGAACCGATTTTGGGCGTTGTGCGGGTGTTAATCTTTCCCCACAAGTAATTGACTCCCGAACCCTTCTTCAAAATGAATTTTTGGTTAAAGTATATCATTTTTTTATCTTTTAAAATTATTTTTCTTAAAATTATTTTAAAAGGTATTTTTAGGTATTCGACCTACCTAACCCAAAGGTCGATGGTGACTCCAAATCTATTTATTTGTTCTTTATTTTAAAACCCAACTTTTTCCAAGATTAAGTTGGATCCATCACTATCATAGCCCTAAAAAGCTTAAAGACAGTTCCGACAACTTGGCAACTCTACTAGGGACATTAGAGAGTCAGGCCGTAATCGATTATATATAATCTTTTTAGTCGAAAATGGTAAATTTGAATGATATTTAAATTTTGATCCTCATGTTTTGGTTGCATCGCATTGTACATCTTTTATTCATTAGTTGTACTAACGTGTGATTTGCATATTTCAGATTTCTGACTTTTGTTCTAGTTTGTTGGTTTTTTTTTATCAAGGCAAAGGATTGTTAGTTTCCCCTCACACAAGCTATAACCATTTGAGTATTTGGAGCCTTCTAAATGTGCTTTGTCCCGTTAGATAGGGGTGAATGCTACGCTTATGTGAGAAAAGTATTTTTCTCCGCATGGGCTTTAGCTAGTAAAATCTATGGTACATATGCCTCATGTTTACAAGCGAAACATTGAGTTTCCTCGCATGGACATGAGGAAATGAATCCTCTCAAATTGAACTCGATCTATTTTAGCCTATAATGGGTGAGGACTGAGGGTCTGGCAGGCCCAAAGGGGCACCAGTAAAAGACAATTCGATGACCCTGTTAGTAATATCGAAACTCTACTCATTTCGTACTGAATTCCTGTCAGATGTTCTTCAAAGGTCAAAAAAGGGAAACTCACTCTAACTTTTTCCTCGAATTTATTTATTTTGCCAAAAGCATGAGAATTAGAAGAGTGTGCGATTAGGTTCATTTTTTTCAAACAAGCATGGAACTAGAAAGCATGAGGTTAGGATTTATATATTGAACAAAGCATGGGGGTAGAAAACATGCCTGGGTAGGACTGTTATGAAAGCATGTCAGGGTAGATACCATGTTGGGCAGGATCTTTTCCTTTTGTAAATATTTCTTCCCTTTTTTGGTTAAATGGTACTAACAATTTCTTTTGTTTTATATTATTTTTATCTGCCTTATGTTTGCATTTGCATTTTCACATCATAATCAAACAAAGTGTTAAGTCACAAGTGATTGACCGAATCAGAAGGTTTTCATATCGACATAAGAGTTCCATAACTAGACAGTCAACTCCGTAAGGGCGACGACTTACAAAGAAAATTGATCGACAGGAGAAGAGCTCAAAGATTTATTGAAGACTCTTATTAGAAAAAGATCAAGATGGCATCAAATAGCCAGGTGATAGTTGAGTGAAGAGTAAGAAGATCTTTCGCGAGATATCAAGGTTGCTTTTCTTCTGGAGAATCCCACAGAAATGGAAGTCTAGAGATCCCATAATCACAATGGGTGAATTAAACTGAACAAAGGTGGGTCAACACTCTGAGGAATCCAACAACGACTACAAAGACAACCTCAAATCATAAGAAATACCTAGATCGAGAAAATGAAGCTAGTTTGTCTAGTGTAAGGAACACTTACGATCTTATGAGGGTTGTTCTATAGTGATCGCTTTTGGAATTAACACCTTGTGCATTTGCATTTTCATTTGCATTCTGGTTTTGCATTAATTTATTTTGATTACTTTTACAGTAATTCTTGTCATTTTGTACTAACGTGTTTTTATGTTTTCGCTTGCATCGCATGATCATGACATAATCAAGGTGTTGATTTGTGAGTGGTCATCAAAGTAAAAGGTTTTCATGATGGACAAAGGGTTTCACAATCAAGTAGACTATAACACAGATGGGGAATGGCATCTTGAGGAAACTCCGAGGATAGTGGAGAGCTATACATCTTAAGATCGTATGTCTGATGAAGAGCAAAAGGTGATAAGAGAGATAAGAGAGCAAATGTCCAAGAGGATGTATAGATTAGTTATTCTAGCCAAGGGAAAAAGACTTCTGCAAGAGAAAGGAAAGAGCTCGATGAAAATGATCTTGCGACGTTAAATACACATGGGACTAATTTAGATCAATCTAATCCTAACCTATCTAAGAAGTCACACACAATCACCATTCGTATCAACAAGTTGTCTAAAGACCCCAAGGAAATAGTGACAAATGTATAAGTTTAGAAAGATGAAAAGAAGCCCTGTAATAAGAATTTGTGGTCATTTGAGAGTGTGCTCCCAACGTCAAGAGAAATAAACTTGTAGACTCCAGTTCAATCCAAGTTGAGAGGAGCTCAAAGACATGCCATTGAGAATTACACTGCCTTCAAGCATTGAGTCCAACACCTTTTAGATCATAGAGTTCGAGATGAAATCGTTCAAAGGTATGAAGCTCAAGTGTGTCCCTTGAGGAGTAGACAACAGAGGTCGCTGAACTGAAAAACAATGCTGAATAATAGAGAAAGAATAGCAAGATGCATGAAGGTCGAGCCAATAAGTCCTTTCATGTTGCAGA